CCCACCCCGCGGCCGTCGTGTCCTCTTCCCCCACCCCCTCTTCCCCCTCCTGCATAAGGCCCTACAGCCTACTGCGAACCCTGGCCCCCTCCCCACCCCACAACAACCCACACAAGACAGTCCCACCAACGCCCCGTCGCTCAAACCGTCGCTCAGACCCCCAAACCCGTCTCCACGCCTCCTTCCTTCTCCCCTCATCAGTTCGATTTTTTTTATATGTTGCATCCATCATCACCTCCTCCTCCCGCTCCCCCTCCTCCCTCTCCCGCTTGACCCCTTCTCCCGCTCCTCCCTCTCCCCCTCCTCCACCTGCTCCCCCTCCTCCCTCTCCCCTACCTCGCCACTTCGTTCCTGACGCTGCTCTGCAAGGTGGCTTCCGCATCCGCCAGCGCGCTGTTCAGGGACATGGACAACCGCCGCAAACCCTCACTCTGAGCCACTTCCAGACCAGACAGAGAGCCCTCCACGGCCTGAGTGGCGAGGCGTGGGGGATAAAGCGGGGGAAAACACACAAGCATGTCAAAACACACGAACAACCAACCTTGGGAGTGCACAGACACGGCCCGAGACCCAGTCTATCTGTCTATCTGTCTGTCCGTCTGTTCCTCCACGCACCTCCGAACCCGCTTGAGCAACGCCTTCCCCCAACCCCAAGAAAACACACACGCACACATCCTCCAGTTCCCTTACATCGGCCACCCCCCCATACACACATCCTCCCCTCCCTCCCCTCCTTCCCTTTCTTTCCATCGCACCCCCACCACCCCCACCTCCCCCACCCACCGCCAGCCGTGCATCCAGCCTGGCTAGTGCCGTGGTTTCATTGTTGGCCAGTGCCTCCGCCGCTCTCCGCAGCTCCAGTCGCATGGCGCCCACCAGCCCCTCCAGCACCGCGCGCTGCTCGGACTGCAACCGCTCCGGCAGCACACCCAGGCCGGCGGCGGCCTCGCGGGCGCTGCGACCTGCGAGGGGGGGGGGGGAGGAGGGGGAGGAGGGGAAGAAGGCGCGTGTAGGGAGGACGGGGAGGACGGGGGCAACACGGAGAAGGAGGGGGAGGAAAGGCGCTAGCCAGGTAACAGACCCCAGCAGGGGTGATCATGGCAATAAGCAGAAGGGCTAATTCGGCTCTAGTGGCCGTAGCAGGGGATAACGGCAACGACAGCAATGGCAGCAGCAGCAGTAGCAGCACTAGCATCACGGGACTGCGCGGCGGAGAGCGGGGCGGACGGGGGAAAGACGAACCACGAACGAGTGAAGCTGCTGCCACGGAGCGGACGGGGGACAGCCCCCCCCCAGGGGGTAGTCAGGGGGTAATCACTCACTGGCACTGAGTATGGAGCCCTCCAGGGAGCTCAGTCGCGCCTCAATGGTGCCCAGCCGGGCCGCGGTCGTGTTCTGGCCCCGCAGCTCACGACGGACCTCCTCCAGAGCCCCCCGCGCGTCAGCAAGCAGTGCTGTGCTGTCACGGGTTAGGGACACGCGCAACGTGTCGTACGCGCGACGGTTGTCCTGCGCAGCGGCGCGGCCGTTGGGTTGGATCGGGTCGGGGTATGGTGGGGGAGGTTTGCACGCAGCGAGCGATGAGGGAAGGGGAGGGGTTGCCAGAGCGGTGGCAGAGCAGTCAGGCAGTTTTTGAGTTGCGGGGGGAGGAGAGGTCGTTGGTCGTTGTCGGCCACCGATGGTGGTGATGGTGGTGATGATGATGGTGTACGTGGTGGTGGTAATAGGGTGGCAGTTATGGTGGTGATGTGGTGGTGGTGGTGGTCGGGACAGGGGGCCATTCATGTGTGTTGAGCGTGAGGGGGATGGAAGGTGCTTACGAAGGTAGGGATAGGGGTGCTGACCGTTGATAAAGCAGATGTTGACGAAGGAACGGGTGGGGATGGGCCAGCGTTCTACTGGCCGGCTATGGAAGCACCGCCCCGACGAAGGCATGCCTAGTGCATATGGATAGCTGAAACGTGAATAAAGCATGCTTGCAACTAACAAATAGGTAGCGTTTGCGTGCAAGTCGTTTCGATGGTTGAGGCGACTGCCGGTGACCGCCGCCTAGAAACAGACGCACCTCCGCAATTAGCCCTTCGCGTTGGAGCGCCGAGAGTAGAGAGACGACGGGTAGAACCAACGGCAAAAATAGCACGTAGGTGCCCGATATAAGGTTGAGGATGGCCGCCAGGGCGCCACCCACAGAGCCCAAAATCGCGATGACATCCACAAAAGTCCAAAAGCCTTTCTTAAAACTGATGTTGCTATCAGTTGCTGAAGGAGCTGGTGCTGGCCCTGGCGGTGTCGCCGTTCCTTGCGAGACTCGGCAAAGTTGCGGATGTCGAGGACTCTGGAGCGGGACTAGCCGCTTCGGAGCTACAGAAAGCCATGGACGAATTGGTATCGGCTTCAGGGACGGCCTAATTGTGCTCGGCCGGCCCAACGAGGAAATGGGCTTCAGCATCGCGCAGCTGCGCGACTGATGTCGCTATCAGTTCGGCTATAAACTAAATCATCATCCTTTAAATTGCATGTTTGTCCGGAAGAGAAATCAGGAGTTAACCTGCGTGGAACAGAATTCTCGTCGTGCAAGACATGCCGACGCGACAGCTTTTGACAACAGCAGAAGTCCTGCCCTAAAAATTAGTGAGACGGCATAAACCCACCATTCGTAACACCCAACCCAATTGCATGAATGATAAAGCCGCATGCAGCCACTATTGCCCACCAAGAATCACCCAAGCAGTAACCGATCCATCCGCATCTAACGACGGGAAAATCGCTACGCTGTACCAGTGCCCGTCCCAAGTGCTGCTGCTGCAGCCCCCAGCGTCCCAAGCTGCTGCGGAGACGGGCCCGTCCCAGATCCCGCTCCAGGTCCCCCAGGGGGCCCCTGCGCTGTCCGATCTGACCCGGCAACGTAACGCACGACACCCATAATACCCCCCAGTCCGAAGCCCCCTCCTCCAACACGCCCTCCACGACCCTTGCCACCCGAACCGCCGCCGGAGTGATGCGAAAACCCCGGACCCGGCGGCGGCGTCGCCAGTACGGCAGCGGTCGCGGGCTTCGGCGGCGTCTCGTCCTTTAAAAATGCCGCAAAGGCCTCCGTCAGGGAAGCCGGCTCGCCGCCGCCGGCCCCCCCGCCGCGGGACGCCGCCGCCACCAAACCGCTCCCTCGCGACGCCACCCGCGGAACACCGCCGCTGGTGCCATCCGCAGAGGCTGCCGTATCAACACCGTACATTCCGTTACGCTGTGTCCACATCGAAACTCCAGTCCCCGCCACGCCTTGCGTGCTACCACCACATTCGCTGACCGCACCGCCGCCGCCGCCGCCACCACCGGCAATGCTGCCCGCGGGCCCGGGCGTGTCCGTGGGCCCCGACGTCGGCGTCGCCACCGCCGCCGCTCCCAGGTGTTGCTGCTGCTGCTGCTGCTTGCTCTTAACCTCCGCTGTCGCGGCCGCCGTGTTCAAGTTGTCCATCAGTTCGCTGTTGAGCTCGACCAGCTTCTCAATCACCTTCAGCGGGGGGTGGCGGGTGTGTGTGGCGGGGGGGGGGCGGTGATGAACAGAACTCAGCAGCAGGGTGAGGAGGGAACACACGCGCATGGCACTAAACCCATATCGTCAGGCACTCAACGCCGCCATGATCCCCCGCATCCCCCCGCATTCCCCCGCATTCCCCCGCATTCCCCCGCATCCCCCCGCATTCCCCCGCATTCCCCCGCATCCCCCCGCATTCCCCCGCATTCCCCCGCATTCCCCAAGGCCCCAGGTTCGCGAATAGCTCCCGGGGGGCCTAACCCTGAGACCAGCCAGCAGCTCCCGGGTTCGGAGGCCCGTGCTAACATATAACAAACGCCTTGTCGTAACAGACCAGCATCACGCAATCCGTAATCCGCACCGCAATCCGCATACCACACATCCGTACCTTGGCATTCGTCTCCAGGTTGATGCTGAGTGTACGGCAATGGACCTGTCGTACCACCGCCGCCGGAACCACCACCACGATTTCACCGTAGCCAATCCGCCCGGTCAAAAGGGCGCCACACGCCCCAATGTGGAATTTGGAAAGAACGTGTCAAGGAAAGGCAATGAGCGGTGTTGGAACATTTTTGGTAAGAAAGTCTACTTAGGGAAAGCCCTAACCCTCAACCCCACTTCAAGCGGGATGGATACCTTCGAACCCACACAGTAAGAATGGGTAAGCGCAGGGAGGGCCCCGGGAGGATGCGAGGGGGGTGAAGGGGTGCCTTTACGGGGGTAGAGGACGGGAGGGGTTGAACTCCGAAACCCCTTCCCGCCTTTCCCTTCCCCCCGTTCCCCCCTTTCTGTGACCACCTGCAGTTTGGAGAGCTCCGCCGCCGCCGCCTGGCCCTGGCTGGAGCTGGTCTCGGTCCGCTGCATGAGCTGTTGGATTACCTGGATTGTAGCATCGGGAGGGGGAGGGAGGGGAGGGAGGGGAGGCGGGGAAATGTAAAAGGGGGAAGGGGAGGATACACGCATGCGCAGCAAAACACAAGGAGTCGACTGCGGGACGTTCAAAGCGTCACACGCTTCTAAGGGCAGGGCGGGAGGCGAAGGAAGGGGGGAGGCGGACGGATCGAGGGGGGAAGAAAGGAAACAAACTCCGACATGGCTGTGCGCGAGGTAACAGCAAGCAGAGATAGAGAGAAAGAGAGAGGTGGAGAAAGGCACGCTCCCTCATCACGGCTCAGAACAATAAACACACACATACACACATACGCATACACATACACTAAGTTGATACGCCGTTGATCCGCTAGATTTGGTTGGATGCTAGTGGTGAGTTGCTGAACCCAACGAATACACTCTGAAGTCGGATGGGGTGACGGATTAGGGTGCCCCTCTAGCAGGGGAGAGCAGGGAACTGCCTCGGGAAGGAGGCCACTGGTGAAGCTTAACCACCCTGTAACTACATACATACACATACACCCCAACACCCCTCTCCCACCTCCAGCCTACTCGCTGCGGTGCTCTGTGCCGAGGTCAGTTCCGACCTGACCAGCTCCACTTGCTGCCGGAGGGCGTCACGCTCAGCAGCAAGGAGCTGTATGCGGGTGTGGGCGGGTGTAAAACATGGAGGGGAAGAGGCGGGGAGGAGGGTTGGTTGAGGGGGTTTGTACGGCGGAAACCGTTATGCCGTCAGCTGCAGGGCAAACCAGGAGGCGATACGACAGCTCGGCGGCTCGTGAAAGGAGCCCCCACCCGCCTCCAACACGCAAAACACAAGCCAGATGCGTGCCCCAGTAGCCACCCGCCAACACCCTTCCTTCTCCCTTCCCCTGGCCTGCCATTCCCTCCCGTGCCCTTTCCACCACCTCCATTTCCCTTCACCTCACCTCCCCCCTCCCTCCCTCCCTCCCTCCCTCCCTCCCTTGCCGCCTTACCCGCATGGGCCCCTGCCGGCCCCCCCATACACACACATACACACACACATACATACACACACCTGCATCTGCTGCTGAGCTGCCGCCAGCTCCCCCCTGCCCTTGTCCAGCTCCCCCCCCAACACGGCCACCTTCGACCGGAGGGATAGCAGCTCCTCGGCCACGTCGGGGGGAACACTGGTGCGCTGCGTGGTGTACGGACGTGTGCGTGTGTACAACAGGGGTACGGGGGGACATGGAGGGGAAGGGTGAGCAGGTGGGCAAACACATGGTGGTGGTTGTGCACCGGTGTGCAAGCCAACTAAAACCGTGAGCGGTTGCAAAGTCATAAGATGCTAAACAGCACCCCTGACGTAAAGCGGAGGGAGGGAGGGAGGAAAGACGAACCACACACGAGTGAAGCTGCTGCCAGGGCAAGAGGGAGGGACGGAGGGAGGGAGATACGTTGGGTGGCAAACCGTATAACAGAAAGAGTGTTACAAGGGAGTGCAGAGAGGCTGCTGGGCCATGTATACACGGGCCTTACTTGCGCCGCCTGCTCTGCCTGCGCCCTGGCACCCTTAAGCTGATCCTGGAGCTCCGAAACCTGCCGTACATGGGCCTGCAGGGATAACTCCAATTCCATCTGCATGGGGGGTTAAGGGGGGAAGGAGCATGCGGACATTCACGACGCGTGCTGAAGGGGTTTCCCGTGCGGGGTAAAGGGGGGACATGTGCAGGGAAACAAGGGGGGAGACCTTCCCTCCATTTGTGATGCCGCGGTGTCGTACATACACATGTAAGGGTCTTGGCTTATACCAGTACACAAGTACATGGCATATCGGTTGCGCATACACACCTGCATGCATCGCCACCACCCTTTACTCTGCCTAGGTGCGCCGGGTTTTCAATGCTTAAAGATCCTGAAACCTAAGAAGCCCTAAAACCTTAAAAACCCCAGGTGTGGCACGGAGGGCTTCACGGCGGGTGGGCAGCAGCCTACTGCCTTACCGCCCACAGCCCCTCGACCTCCGAAACCAAACACAGCCCCACTGGCTGCGGGGGCTGGGGCGGGGCCCTCTCTGCCCCTGTGTTGTAGGACCCATCATCATGTCCCTCAGTGCGTATGTATGTAAGTACGTGTGCACGTAATCAGTGAAACCCGTCTTGGGTTTGATGAGCAAGAGGAGGAAGAGGTGACAGAGGGCCCTGTGTCGTACAGCCCTAACCCTCTCAGAGCTGATTTCCCGTGTCCCTCTCGTCCCTGCCCCTCTCCTCCCTCGAGTCTGAACGGCCACAACGAACACCCCCCCCCGTCACCTCCTCACCTTTTCCCTGAGCGCCTTGTCACACGCCTCCGCTCCCGTGAACAGCAGCAGCAGCAGATTCCCCCAGTACTGCTGCTGCTCCGGGGAGTAGATGCGCTCCTGGGCCAGCCCACATACCCTGCGGGAACACACATACATACATACATGCATACGCACACACGTGCAGGCAGGGCAGGTAGGGGGGGTTGGAGGTGGAGGGCTGACGGGGCCGGGATGAGTGGGTGAAGGGAGGAGGAGGGAAGGGGCGGACGGGGGGAAGGGAGGGAAGGACGGTAACCCAACCAGCCATGGCGGCGCCTATTCCACATCCACCGTTTGCAGTACTCGTGCCAGTGTACCCTTTTCATCAGCGCCGCATTCCCCGTCACGTGCGCCTGCTCGCCACACCTGTACAACCGTGGGCCAGAAGCCCCTCCCTGGACTCACTCTTCCTGGAGCCACTGCCCACGCTGCTCCCACATGGCGCGGGTCTCATCGGCGGGCAGCGCAGCCGTGGCCTCGCCGTAGCGCCTGACCAGGCGGACCAGCTCAAACATCCGCGGGTAACTGGCGCGGGTTGTGGCAGGATCGAGCGGCAGCGCGCGTAGTTCTGCCACCAGAGCCTGTGCGTTCTGCAGCAAGCTGCGTTGGCGCCCCGAATCCACTGCGCTGTGCATTTGCACAGCTTATGGGATGGTAAAACGCCGAGCGTTTCGGAGACACTTAAGGTAGATCTGAGGTAGATTATTTAGCTTTAATCACATGAACAAACAGGGTCTTGGCAACAAACGCGAGCCAGCCGTAGCGGTGAAATTATATCAAGTCCGGGTAAAACGTTAAACAGTATGCTACCAACGCGGTAGTAACATTCGTGGTTCCTGCAATTCCCTTAAGTGGTCGCAAATTTTCGTGATGGCCGATCACTTGTGCGAAGGCTTGCTTGTTTATCGTCACGCGAATTCGTCAGAAATATAGCTGGAAGTAATGGTAGCCACAAAAGTTTTTGTTATAAAATCTCTTACAAAGAAACCATTAGTTGCTGCGTTATGTTGCAAGGTGCCCCTACCCAGGCATAACTGTCAAACTGCTCGTCAAACCGCCGTATTCCTACCAGGGCCCTCCGTGGGAAACAACAGGCACACAGCGCAAGGAAATAAGTTTTCTTTAAGAAGTGCCTGGAAAACGGACAGTATCCCTCCTGTCAGCGTTATGCGGGCGGTCATCTAGCTGCTCCCAGGGATGGTCAAAAGTCCCGGCCATCGCCACCATATTCTTCTCAAGCGCCAAATCACCCAGTCCCGACCCTTACCCTTGAAACCTCTAGGAGCCTCATAACACGCTCCATGGCCCATATCGCTCCACAACGAAGACGAGGCTCTTCGCAACATTAAGACAAGGGCAAGTCGGGGGAAAGCAAGGCAAGGAAACAAGCTGACGGCCAAGATTGGGCGACTGGGAGTTATAGAGGCTCGGCTGGAGGATTGGTTGTTAGTATATTGTTTGTCTGTGTGTGTATGTGTTCTTGCCTTTGGTTAGGGAGTGCACCGTACAGCAAAGCAACGGAGAATTGCCGGGCTACAAAACCCGGCGACAATAAATCCGACCGGTCCATCCCTTCTCCCATCGGCACCAACTGAATTACCGTCCACCACCCACTTCCGATCAACCACCGCAAATCATTTCCAACAATCGAGCAACTTCCACTAACCACCATGACGATAATGCCTTTTCTGCAAGGGTGGTGTTTTATGTTTGGTATCATTTTCATTGCAGGCGCATGCAAGAGTTTGGCAACAGCAGCAGCAAGCCTAATGTGTGTGTGTGCGTGTGTGTGTGTGGGTGTGTTACACCTCGGTTGCGTTACCCACTGGAATTGGCCATATAGCTTTCCTTCTGAGGCCTGGGAGGCGAGGCACGCAGCGCACTCAAACGGGGCCGGGGAGATGTCGACAGTCGCCCCAAACCGGCCCCGAAACATTAACTTTTATGAACGGTCCATGGGCCCCCTAAGGCTTTGACAGACCCCCCCTGTGCAAACACTGTTACTGTAACGAGCCCATACGAGCCCATGTATTTAAGATGTCAACAGATGCCAAAGGGCCGTAGTGCTGCACCGAATGGCACAGGCGCACTGCAAGGTCAGCAACAAGCTTAAGGCTGATGCAGTACGGGAAGAGGTGCGTCATGTGTCGGATGATGTTGAGGTGGCAGTGACAGTCAAGGACGTGCGGAAAGGCAAATTTGACGACAGATCTACACAGCGGCTGCTGCCGCCATAGGCGGTGGTTCAGCCATCGAAATGACGGTGATAAACACTGACGTGTCATCGGTAGTCGGCTGCTGCCGCCGTAGGCAATGATGAGGCTGGCTCGATGTGTATCGAGTAGAGCACCGACGGAGGTTGTCGGCGTGGCTTAAAAATACTGATTTCATGGAAGCTGAAATTATTGTCGGCCTCAACGCCATGCGTAACAATAAGTCCGCGGGCCTGGAGGGAATCCCGGCTGAGTATCACAAATACGCAATCAGGGAGAATGAAGGGCAGCGGCCCGTATTCGCTTTGGCATCGTACTTGGCGGCATTGTACAACCGTATTTACGGGGGTGAGTACCCGCGAGGATTACGACTAGCACCTTTGCCCTGTCCTTAAAGAACGGGGACGCATCCTGTTGCGATAATTATCGGGGTATTGCGGTTCGGGGTCCGCTGTGCAAGCTCTACACCAACCTTGTCGGGAGGCGGCTCACCAAGTTCTGTGAAGAGAATGGACTTCGTGCCGCTAGCCAGGCGGGGTGTCGGCATGGTTTCGGTACCGAGCACCGCCTGCTTACACCGTGGCATCTCATTGCTTAGCACACGGCGGCCGGAGCTAAGCTGCTTATCCTCATGCAAATTGACTTCAGTAAGGCGTTTGATTCGGTCGACCATGAGACGCACTGGCGGTTCCTTTGAGCCGTACGGGCTACACGGTCGCATCCTCAATTCACTGGAGACCAGGTACGCAGACGTGAAGGTTCGGGTCAAGTTGGGTAGTCAGTTGGGGCCTGAATTCTCCGTGGGGCGGGCGGGACGTGAAGCAAGGGTGCCCCCTTAGTGTCACCCTTTTCGGACTATTCATTGAGGTGTTCGCTCATTACATCCAGGCCCACGATACCGATTGCCGTGTGCGCCTTCCTGACTGATGGAACATCCTCCGTGAGCAGGGTGTAAGCCTGGCGAGCGGTGAGCTCACAAACTTGCTTTTTGTTGATGATGCGTCATTAGCTGCAACTGGCCATGAGAGAGCCCCATGCTTACTCGGACTCCTCGGGGCCTTCTGCAAGGCGACGGGAATGGCCGCGAACGCCGCCAAGTGTGAAGCCCTCATTTTTGGGGGCACAGCACGGGAGCAAAAGCGCCTTATGGAAGCCGAGTACTGTTTATGTGGGACGTGTTTGAGGGTACTGTAACGAGACGGTGCGATATCTCGGGCTACATTACGGCCCAGGCCCAGGCACGCAGTTTTCAGCCTATTAAATTATTAAATTTGATGATTTGTCGTAAGCTTTAAGCTGCTCTGCACTACCTGAACCGATAAAAAAAGTCGTACCACCATATGGGGCAAATTCCTCAACAGTTACTATAGCTCCTTGTTCATCCAGTTGAATGGTAGCAGAGCCTAAGTGGTCCTCCAAATTATATAACACAATCTTATTAATTATTCCAGCTGGAGGTGAGCCTGTTACCCAGTTATTTCTGGTAGCAATACACCTTGTATTGTCCATAATCCTCAAGGCATGATATTCTTGAGCAGGAAAACGGGCCACTTTTGGCCTCAGTGCCCTGTGTCGAGATAAGAAAATTAGTACCCCTAAGCTAAGCTGTGCATATCCCTCTACAACGCGCTCGTTGTGCCGGTGTTTTCATATGGGGCGCAAGTTTGGGGACCTGATTTTATTGGTGTGAATTTCGAGAGCGCAATGACGAACCCTATGGTACAGGAGCAGTGCACGTACATGCGGTCAGTGGTAGGAGCGAGGAGCCCGACTGTGGTTTCACTTTATCGCGAGCTGTCATAAAGGCCGCTCCAGTTCCATTGGGCCAATCTTGTGCTAAGGTTCTGAACTCAGTTGTCAGGAGGCCGGGGACACTGTGCCACCGGGCCTTCATTGCCGACCTTGAGCTGGCTCTGGGGGGTGTTGCTGAGTGCTGGACGAGCAAGGTCCTACCGTTCCTCAAGAGTTTGGGAGCTGAGCCCCCAGCCGGTCTGCATGGTGACGACCTCATAGTGCATTACGCCACCGTTAGGTTGCCAGTGGGAAGCATACTTGAAGAGTTCGCTAGGCGGCTCGACGCCCGGTGGGAATGCCCGGATACCCTAGGTGATCCACGCACTTTCCCAAGCGGAAGTGCCGGCGTTAAGGCGTGTCGCTGTGTGAACTGGATGGGGGCGCCCCCGCTTAGGGGCACGCGGCATAAGTGGCTGGCCCACGCTGAAACCGCCATGCTCCAACGTTTGCATCCAGTGCATATGCGTTTCCGGCTAGGCTGTTGGGAGTTAGAGATTAACCGGCCTAACGGCCGTGAGCGCACAGCGCGCACCTACAGGCTTTGCGACTGCGGGGCGGTTGAAGGCGAAATGCATGTTTTTTGTGTGTGTATGTGTGTTACATAGTTGAGGGTGTGTGACACCATACCTGTAAAACTACCCATACGAGCCGAAGGCCCAAGGGCAATACCTGTAAGCCTAAAAGCCACGGAGAACAGGAAACACCGCACATCAGCCCAGACTATCGTCCAAAGGGGGTAACTGAGTTTCGGTGAGCCCACATACGTTCCAACATCCTCGCCAGATGTGCTGGTTCCCATGTCATGGCCACCAACATGCTCTGTTGATGATCGAATCCCTCTTCAGTACGAATATCATTATAGGCTGGCATTCCAATAACACGTGTTTTTTATGCATGATTCGGCTAGTAATACCACAACAGCGGCAAAACCGCTGCCCCCTGGGGACATGGTACTTGCCCCTGTATGCTCTGTTTGCCTCCAAAGCCCAGCAACATAAACGAAACTGCATTAACTTACGATGTGCTAAACGAGGAATGAAAACCTTAGCATGTGTTGGCCACATGACGGCTGGGGCTCCCGAAAAAGGCAGCCCCACCCAGTGCTTATACTTCGCCATTTGCACTCCCGGTTGCTTCCCATCTGATGGGTACTCCTCTGGCAAGACAGTCAGACGCGTATGGTCCCAGCCGCTCATCAACGCTCCCTTAGTGCCGTTATCATCGCTCCTTCGGGTAGAGGCCTACTCAACAACCAGTCAACACGCTCCTTTACCCCCATGACTTCTTGTGGTATTCCGCTCCAAACACTGCACTCCAAGAAGGAAACAGTCACAACATTGAGGTTCCCCAACTCCCATTCCGGGTTGGTCAGAGCATCGGTTACCTCCTGCCGTAAAACTGCAGGAGCAATAGACCCCACTTGCTTTTGAAGGCAGTTTTAGAAACGGAGGATCTGTTTCACCATGTAATACTGTAAGGGGAGTTCAGCCAGCTCCGCATACGCCTGTGGGATGGCCGTGCCGTCCCCACTACCTGCCTCATGAATAAAATCTGCAGCTGGACTGCGCTATCCTTCAAACAGGCTTCGAACATGACCTCCGCAAGGTTGGTTTTATCCCGCCGCCTTCCCGCCCTTTCCACGACCTCTGCCAGCGCAAAAGGGCCCCACGCCTGGCAGCCATACAACAGAATTGCTAGGACTTGGGTTGCAAAGCACCGCATTCGCACGTCGGGGGCAAAAAACTTCATTTTGTCCAACTTTGCGCTTAAGGAAAACATAGCGGACCGACCTGTATCGCATAACTGCTGACGGCATGTTTTTGTGGAATGCCCGGCGTACACTAGTACACGGGCTGAGCACGAACGTGACCTCGCGTTCCAAGGGCACGACATGCACACGATTATGACCGAGGCCCCACCCCTTGCGCTAGCCAGGTTCCTCTCGGAAGTCTGGGAGACCCGGCACGTTGCTCTAAGGCGATTCGTGCTCAAGCGGACGTGGGAGGACGATGATGGTCCACCATGTAACCGCACTGAAAAACATTTACCGTCCATGGCCCCCCCGGCTTTTACAGACACCCCCGCACAAGTACTTGTGCAAAATTTGTAACTTGTAGTGAGGGCGACGTTGGAGTAACGACGATAGTGGCGGTGATGTTTATAATGACGGTGACGATGACAGTGATGATGGCCGATTGTGGACATTGATGATGACGGTAACGGTGAAGGCGACGGTGTAAGGTGATGGCAATGGCGCCATCATGCGGATCAGGTCGGTAGTAGGTGTCGATACAGTTGCCGCGGGGGGTCAGGAGATTTAGGCGGGGAGTTGGCGGGGTTACATACACACTACAAGACAGCTTCGGAGTGGCTGTATTTGACAACAACAGACTCCAACGAAACTCTTGACATAAAATTAACCTCAGCAAAATTGCGCTCGAGCTAGCCATGCCATCATGCATTACCACAACGAAGCATCGATGATGCTGATGGTCGGCAGAGCTGAGCGCCAACTTTGCTACATGAGCTTCCTAGTGCTGTTATGCAGCTCCTTGCTATTGCTCCTTGCTGTTGCCCTCCAGTACTAGTAGTAGCACTAGTAGTACTACTGGGGATACTAATACTCCGTAGTAAACTGTTGCATGCATAACTTGATCTTCATTGTAACAGATAAGCTCAGGCTCTCAATCTGCGTCAATGCTGCCTTGACTTATTTAGCTATGTATGTGAAGCAGAAGGCAAGACCGGTGCCATGACAAATGCACGTTTGCTAGGGGCCAGTTTCTTCTCGCCTGTTGACCGGAGCTGCTACATGGTGTAAATTAGGTATCGAATGATGTGTTGGAATTGCGAGGCGCGCGCTGGTGGGAAAGTGGTTGGGGCCAGACATCGGCAAACCCTTCGGGAGTTTCGGGTCGTACCGAAACTCCCGAAAACAGAAATAGAGTTCCCGAAGCCGGCCGGCCCCTTAAAACCTAAACCCCCATCATATGGACGATGTAGGACGTGATAAAATCAACTTGCGAGCTGACCAGGAACTAAGTTGATGCGCCGTTGATCCGCTAGATTTGGTTCGATGCTGGTGGTGAGTTGCCGAACCCAACGAATACATTCTGAAGTCGGATGGGGTGACGGATTAGGGTGCCCCTCTAGCAGGGGAGAGCAGGGACTGCCCCGGGAAAGGGGGCCGCTGGCGAAGTTAACCACCCTGTAACAACATACATACGAGTATTGTGGGATAAACTGGACAAACTGCCAATGAAGTGGGGTAGGAAAACAGTGGGGCCTCGCGGCTGACTTGGGTATTGCAGTTGTGGCCCTGAGTGCTTGCCTCCCGACATTGCCAGAGTACGGTAACCAGGCGTGCAAGTTTTCCTGCCCCACGTACTGGGATTGAAACCAACACGCACATGAGGCACTTGTAAGCGGTCCCCTTGCAGAGTTTTCTGTAAATCCTTGAAAGTCATGTGCTTCCGGATGCCAGCCCGAGCCAATCCTGCCAACTCGACAGCTAATTCGACACCCCGAACAGGCCAATTCGATACCTGCCAGGCTAATTCGATACCCTGCCAGGCCAATTCAGGCCCAGCACAGCGCAATTCCGAGGCTCCACAGCGCAATTCGAGTACCTCAGGCGAGCCCGTCAGAACAATTCAACACCCCGGCGGACCAATTCCTTTGTCAGGAATAAAATCCAGGCTAATTCTGCGACAGAGCTCTTCCCCAATTCCAGCCCGGATCCTACCCTCCTTTCGGCAAGTTCGTTGATACAGGTTTACGCGGGTCTGAAAATAATATGTTTGATAGCTTGAATCTGGTACGAGCAGGTTACAACTTACAACATGTCGACTCGCCTAGAACGGTTGTACCGCGGGGCCGCCAAAACAGCCTTTGACATAAAGGGCGGGCTTCGATTAGCCAGTTAGCGCCCGATAGTTAGGGTGAGATAACAGTCGCTTTATCCACTAAAGCTTGGCTAAAAGTCGCGTTCTTCCATGGCGGCTGAGTTATGTCAACTGTCCTCCTATCAGCTCCTATCGCACCTTCCAATGCAACTCCATGTTATCGGTGCGGCGGCGCAGCTAGCTAAAGCGGCAAATGTAAAATTTATTTAGGATAATGTGAATGATGACTTAGTTATACTATATAGGATATTCAGAGCTTGCGAACTTGACCACTTGAGGTCGCTCAGGTGGTAAGTTCACCGTGCACCGAAACGATCTGAGTAAAAGATGGTCTTTCCACTTGAGTTAACAGTCACGGATTAAGGCTTAATCCGTGGCAAATGGAAACATCGCGCGGATTAGGCGGATTAGGTTGGGGGGATTAGTTAGGGTGTGTTCACATGTAGTCCAATTGAGAGTCTGATTGGGAGTCCGATTCGGGGCGGCTTTCTGAATTGTGTTCACATACGATTCGCTGCACGGCGCGAGGTGCCACCGCGCCCAGCTGAAGCTCCGCGGCTACGCCCCATCACCCAAGGCAAGCCAGCATTATCTAGGAACAGAACAGTATAAGTATCGTTTCTATGGCGAAAATTATCACCAGGCTTGTACATACATAGCTGCAGGAGTTCGTGAAAAATGCTCGGTGCGATTTGCGTGAATTAACAATTGGAAAATGTTCCTATAGTATTGTAATGGTAATTATGAGAAACAGTTTGTTAAAGAACTTTGTTTTGAGAAAGAAAACTGTGAATCACGTCGAATCATACCCGAAGAGGCCCCCCCGGACCCCAATTCCGATTCGGGTCCAATCAGGTCCAATTCAGAGTCCAATTCGCATGAATCAACCCTGATTCGCCCACATGTGAACACGTCCTTAGAGATCTACGCACGTATTCGCACGCTTCGCGGATTACATATATATTAGTATGTTATAAGATCCGCACCTTTTACCTACGCTAAAAGCTCAAACTCGGTTGAAAAACGTAGCAACTTGGTGGCCACCAAGTATCAAATTGACAATCTCGGATTAACATTTTTTACTACGCCTCATAAAAAAACCCTGTTTGATATCGTGGAAGGTTATCCTGTATAAAGGCTATATTTGCTCCTAGTTTTGTGGAAGCTTTGCGCTTCTCGTTCGGCTTTAGTCCGGCATTATGCACCACACCGTAGGGTGTCGCTCGAAGGTACTGCAAGGCCTTCATTTTGATACTCGATATCATTTTAAATGTCCAGCAGTACTCATTTTTGCATGTTATGCACGGAATGGCAATCGTTGTACGTCAATCCTTTCCGTAATCAAGACCTATGAAACATTCGGGTGGTTAGCGGCGAGTTGGTGCGGATTAATAAAAGCTTAATACCTGACTTTTAATCCAAACGGAGGCAACCCCTTAGGTCCCTTCAAAGCGGGGGCTCAGAGTCCATGCTGTAAATTGTGCGTTTTTTCACCACAGAGTGAGTTTCCAGAAGCCAAAATGGAACAGGTGAGCGTGGCTTTTTGCAGTGTGCAGCAAAGCCTCTGCGTGCAATGGCGAGCGTACTTTACCTTTTATCGTTCTTCACCAGCACCTCCAAATACTCTTTCCAGGCGCAACCTCCAGTGGCACCCAGCCTAAAGGACACTTGCCAGGCGGCGCGTTACGCTTTTGAAGCCTACAACGCGCCAGGGACCAGTCCTACTTATGCCTCCGGAAGCACCGGCGTCGCCGAGGTGGTTTTCATGGACCAGTAAGTAAAGATAAAATTAGCCTGATAGCGCCTACACGAATGCAATTTAGCCGCTACCTAGCTTCGGTGTTACGACGCGCGGCGGCGTCCGTAAGCAGCAGCAGCAGCAGCGGGCGGCGTTCCGATGTCTAGCTAAGGAATGCTGGCAGCAGGTGTGTGCGGCCTGACGAATTGGTGGCCAAGGTGTTAAGAAATGCCACAAATTAAATGTTCGAAACAGACCGGACTTTTGCAATGATTTTACAGCGGCTCCTATAACAACCACATTACAGCATGTCTGCGACGACTCGTGCGGTATCAGCTAGATCGGGCACGCAGGCAGCCCGTGCATGACAACAGCAAGAAAACGACAGGCCCAAAATCACCGCACTTTGTCACTTCGATTTGTTCATCCATCCATCGATCCATCTATCTGCGCGCACGCCATGTACCTTAAGTTTAGGAGTTATGGGCGGGATGGTACGGGTTGAGTGGGCGGGGTCGGCGGCTCAAGCATCGTTAACGCTTTTATTTTTTTACTTTTCGTATTACATCAGGTGAACGTCCTGGACAATAGCCTTCTGGTCCCTCGCTCGCCACACACACCATAATTCCCTTGCTGCCTTCCCTCCGCTATGCAACCAACTACGTGCCTTGGTTCTCTGACGTTCAGAACCCAGCCCGGTGTGTACATGGCTATATAGCTTGTATGTTACCGTACCTGACCTGCCCCTACCTGACCTGCCTCTACCTGACCTGCCCCTACCTGACCTGCCCCTACCTGACCTGCCGATCCCAGGAGCTTCATTGAACGCGGCAACACAGGCAACGGCGGCATCTTGGTTGTCGAGCTGACTGACGCTCTGGCACTTAAGCCCTTCTGTGGCGTCAGTCTGTCAGTCGAGCTATGCATCCAACCCCGAATCCTTCGAGCCGCTGCAGCTGCCACTGCTGCCAAGGGTGAGCAGCAGCAGGGCAGCATTCGGGGAGCTGCAATTCACGTCAGTCTACCGCTGAAGGGGCAGGACAAGCAAATTGTGCTTGGTGTACGGTGAGGACGTTGGGCTGCATGTCCTTCATGTACAGGAGTGGTACAGGTACCGGTGGTGTCAGAAACTGTCAAATGCATGCATACTGTAGTATCCTGGAGGGCATATCACGGGATTCTGACATTGGTACTTTTCTGTAGCCGTGATACAACAATCACATACCCCCGGCTTCCCCACACACATACACATACCCAGGCACCCGTTACACAATAAGCTATCTATGTTTCCTTATTACTGTGTTTCTCACGCACACATCCATACGTGCATACAAACACGCACAGGGACAAAACAAAGGACCTGCTCCATCTGACGCTGTACTACGGCAACGAAATATGCAACGGGGGCGTGCCGCCGGAGCCGGTACACATCCGTATTCCCCTGACGGACGTGGGTGCAAACCGGTCCACTAAAGTTGTACCAATGCAGGCACTACTCAGGGAGGCAGCTACTGCTGCCAACGTTGCTGGCTCCTCCACCAGCACGAATGCGGGCGGCAATGATCCAGCTGCTCGTAAGTGGTTGAAACAGGTCGACTAGCAGAGGGTATACCGCATGAGCCGCACTGGGTTGGTCATTAATTGCCAAGCTCGTGCTTGATCATTGTCCATACTCGTTCGTGCGTTCTGCCTGCGCACAGCGCCTTCTTACTACCAGAGAGTGATCTCCAACACACATAAAGTGTCGGTCGTAGTACGGTAGAGTGTCGTACCAGTATTGGCTGCCAGATTCAGCTTTTAGCGATGATTGCATAATACGATTCCTGCCTTGCCTGTTTCACATGTGATGACCGTTGGAAACCCCCTCCGAGCTATTGTTAATTAACTGAACACCGAGCTCCCGCCCCTTCAGCCCCGTGCGTGTTATTCGTTCGGTGACTGCCCCCCCCCCGCCCGCCGACTGCCCCCCGAAAGCTAACCAAATGAGTTTCACATGGCTGCTGGCCCCGTTCTCCGACAACCCTTTCGCCGGGAAGAATATACTGCCCCGGGAACAACCATTAGTGAAGGTGGGTTCGTTCCATGCGTGTGTGCATGTATGTGTGTATGTGTGCATGTATGTGTGTATGTGTGTATGGCACAACATATGCACGCAGACAGGCAATCATGTGTAGGTAGTCGTGATTGTCTGTCTGTGTGCATATGTTTGGATGGCGTCGTTAACACCTTACACATCTCGATCATGTCGGTCTTGATTCGGAACGTTCTCTTTGATAGTGGTATCGTATTTAGCAAGTGGGTCCGGACAAGCACGGGAAACAACACTTCAAACCTTGCTAATATTTAAGTTGTAATTGCGTAACTGTATGCGCCATGTATTTTATGAAGGACGTTGTTTCGAGGTGCAGCTAGGCCCGTCTGCCTACAGTTACGTGCAGCAGTTACGTGCGTGAGGAACTAATTGGCAACCTTTGTCCCATGGCATTTGTTGGGGCTGAGGAAGCCCGCTACTTGTTTTTAATTAAGGTTGTATTTGTAGCGGATTAACCCGCTGTCCTCCATCGATACTTGCTCAAACGGCTAAGTTGTTGGTAAACTTACCTTGCCCTTTCGATCTAAACTATTCTCGCCGGTGCACCGCTCGCCCCTGCCGATAATTACATGATCATGCACACTTACATTCACAGCCTTACATGGATACACTATTTGTGCTGTCAAATCAATATCTGAACCAGAAGGTCTTGCGCTACTGATTGGATAATTGTGAATCATGATAATTGCTCCGGCCTAATGAACCAGAATCTTTTTTATTATTTCACTTGGGCAAACAGAGGTTTGGTCGACAGTACCGGTTGCCATGATTTCATCAGCTATCAAGCAATGTTTTTCTTATGTAGAAATAAAACACGAAATTATTCAACCTGTACCCTGGTTACCCAGGTTATAATTTACATATCCAAGTTAAGCACTCCATGAATTCCGATAGTTAGCTCCTTTGCTAAAGGAGATTAGGAAGAAGATTAGTTTTGTGTTAAGCTTTGCGGGTCAGGAACTTATTCCTGATATTAACCTGGCTTTTGACATGAGGGATACGGTAGTAAGTAATCTCGTGAAACATTATTTATGGCTAGAAAAATAACAAGTAATGCATGAATAGGATTTTCATAAATCCGGAATGTCTTCGCGCAAACGTGCACCTCTCATCATTTCCTTATCTTCTTATTGACGGATCTTATCATCTCCTCGCTCCGTGCCGCCGACCTGTCGATGCCGCCTCGTTCCAATCCACACACGCAGATCGCACACGACATCATGAGTTTCGCATTCAAGTGTAAGCAGGCTTGGTATGACACCGATACAGTATGTCCGTGTTACATCTGTGCCGTGATGTGTACTGAGGTCGTCTAGTGCTATACAACCTGTTGTGAAGGCCGCCGGGTACATAGATATATAACGGCTTCATGTGACATATTAAGTGCACATGTCTGTAGTACCCCGGGCATATCACCCCGGGATTTTGACATCCGCCGATCGGTACTTTTCTGAACTCGTGATATAACAGGCTGCAGTTGGGTTGCAGGGTGGGATCCGGATGCTGCTGTCGCTGCTACTGCTGCTGCTGCTGCTGCTGCTGCTGCTGCTGTATGTTGCCACTGTATGGCTGCTCGCTACTGTTGCTGCGCTAGCTGTACAGCACTGCTGATATCACTAATGTTGCTATTGCTTGCTGGCGCCAGTACTAATGCTGCTGGGGCCGCTGATGGCTGCCACTGGGGCTAAGCAGCTCCCTGCCTCCGCGCCTAGCTAGGCTGGGCAGTCAATTGCACATACAGCAACAGCGATGAAAAGCTAGGTAGACCATGCCTGCGTGTATGCGTCATTGCTACTAAAACTCCCAAACACGCACGCACACACACAGACACAAACAAAGTACCCATCTTTACATCCAGCAGCATGCAAAACAACCCATGATTAACGTCTTTGCTTTTTCGGACCCCTGCGTCGACATACAGTCCGTGTGGATTTCGCCGACATCAATTGGGGATCCATTCAGGAGCTTCCGTCGAGAAAATCGCAAGAGAAGGTCAACTGGGACGAGCTGAGCCGCAAGGCGGGCGCCGAGGATCTCACCCTGCTGGCCTACGTCAACTGCCCCGACACCGATACAGTGGTAGATTAGGCGGTGACTGCGCGCAGTGCTGCTGTACACATACACGCATAGATTTTCATTGTCCTGCTCTCATCACTGCTCTCGTCACTGCACCTTTGGAATGGTAATGCACTCAGGTTGTAACACACGTATGGATACACACCCAATAACACATTCACATTTGCAAGAGCACATGCATGTATGTATGTATATAGGTAGGTAGGTAGGTGGGTAGCTAGGTAGATAGCTAGTTAGGCAGGTAGGTTGGTAGGTAGGATGTGTGGGACAGGGTGCCATATCCTCACCCGTGGCCGCAACCTGGCAAAACCCTGCCTTCCCCGGTATTTCGTTGCACCCTCATCACTACACCTTTGTCAACTTCTCAGTGGATAGCTCAGGTTCAGCACCTACCACCGGCATCCAAAGGAATCTGCCGGATTGACGACGGCTCAACTCCATTCCTGGTCAGCTCGCAGGTCAACTAAATCTCAGGTCACAATTGTCCATCGACTAGGGGCACTAAACCATTCGCCATTGGAAACATCTTAGACCCTGATAGGTTTCGATTTCGGTATCTCACGGGGCCATTGGTGCATGCTTTACCAGTAGTTCTTAACCTAAATGTATGTATGTGAGTGCAGGTGTGGTTCTACCGGAACGATAGTTGCGGAAAGGTGATGGTGTCGTTCCGTGGGACAGAAACAGTAAGTTCCGGCCCGGATGGAGTTGGGGGTGTGTTTGGGGAAATGGAGCAGACGGATGGACAGACGGACGGACAGATGGACGGACAGATGGACACGGCTATTCCTAGCTATTTTAAATGGAAACGTGGTCGCAGCAAGCAAGGGGGCAGCATGCTTGCTGGTTATCCAGCAGCAGCGAATGTGCACTGCAATGTATTATTGATCGTGCAATCATGCGTGGTTCTGAGCACACGATGAGCATTCATGTTAGCGACTCTACAGCACCCCGTAATGCTGAGAAGTTGTACCCCTGCGAATCATTTGGCCCCAACCCACCACCATGTGATGATAATCTCCCTTTCATCGCTGAACCCTCCCTCCCTCCCTCCCCCCTCCCTCCCTCACTCACTCCTTCGTGACAGGACTCCCTGGCCAACATGTTAACGAATGCCAATCTGTTCCTCACGCCACCAGACGACCTGAATCCCCTGGAGGCCAATGGCCTGGATGGCAATAGGCTGGAGGCCCATGATAAGAGGGTGCCTGCTGTCACTCCTGCTGCTGATACTATGAAGCTTGTAAGCGACACTAGCCCAAAGGTGGGTGTACTATTTGGAGGGTGGGCAAAATCTAGGTGCCCATATGTAGTTACTCGCTCCCACACCAGCTCATACACCCGAGCGGTCATAGTAGTGACCCCTCCCTCACTCCCTCCCTTTCCCTCCCAGACGTTCACTCCACCGCAGGTCCTGGTGCACACCGGCTTCCTCCGCGCCTACATGAGCATCCGCGCGACGATCATGTCGATTCTGGATCTGCTCATTTTTGACCAGCAGGATCCGGCAGGTGAGGATGCCAATGCCACTGTGCGTCTAGGTGTCCACCACCGCTGTAGGAAGGGTTAAGCTCCCTTGGCATCTCCCTGGGTACTCTTTGCCTGGTGCTACAATGGTGCGAATTGCTAGGAGGTGAGAAATCCCCGAATCGAATCCGGTTGTGAACATATCGCACACCAGTCACGATGCATACATACTCATATCCCAAAGGTGGATGCCCGGGCGGGTGAGAAGTCTACCAGCTGAGTAAAATCAAATCCCTCCATCCCGGACGGGGACTGACGAAATGTCACAATAACCGACAATCTCACAATCCTACGGGATCTCATACAACCAAAATCCTACGGGATATGCCCGGGGGCGACCGAGGATGTTCGCTCGAGGGGGAGAGGAATGTGAGAAGGGTTCCGCTCCCTTGGCGTCTCCCTGAGTACTCTTTGCCTGGTGTTACAACCGCCACCATGGGCCCGCCACCTGCATCACCATGGGAACGGCCCTACCTGCTGTGTCTTTATGCAAACTCCTGGTGTGGGCTGCTGCTGTAGGGACAGATGGCCGTCCCTCCTCCACCACCGTCGTCTTCACGGGACACTCACTAGGCGGTGCTCTGGCAACGCTGGCGACATACGACTTGAGCGCCCGCAAGCAAGAAGGGTACGGCACTGTGCGAGTGGGAATGATGTCATCTTCGATCAAATGGGCAAAACAGGCCTCACATGGTGATATGCGCTTTACGAATGGGATTGCTGTATTTTTTTAGTAAAGAGAAGGAGCCAGCAGTTTTAATTTCGTGGTGGCTTGGATGGTATTGCTCCCCCCCCCTTCTCTATCCCGTTTCGTCCACCTGGCCGTCCTATCCCTTGTGTGCACCACCGCGGCCAACTGTGGTCCATTTCGATGTCTCATCACGCAACTTCGCTGTCAATAATGGTATCGAGATGTACGGCCTCAGGGTCTTCACTGGCGATATTCTGTGTTACACCTTCGGCAGCCCCCGTGTGGGCAACTTGGTGTTCATGAACGAGTTCAATAAGCTGGCTTCAAATGCCTGGCGTTTGACCAACACCAAGGACCTGATCCCCAGGTACGGCACTAGCGGCTGAATCGGCAAAATGATGCATATAAGACATGGAAAACAGGTTGTAGAATGTTGTTCTGGCAGTGGAACGCCGTTGTCATTACTGTTGTTGAAGCTGCTGCTGGTATAAAGATGATGTGTGTTGGCCATGGTCATCAGAGTCCTTATCATTTCGTACTTTTGCCGTATCTGCTTTGCATTCCATGGCAGATTATGCTCGCCAGCCTCAGTGACATGTTGCGCATCCGTCTACTGCACAGGGATTGAAGCATCCCTTTAAGTGCTCATGTCTCGTCTCTCAGGTATCCTACCATCATCTTAAGTCTTCTCTTAAACTCGCACTCATACTCGCACTCTTACTCACACTCACACTCGCACTCATACTCGCACTCTTACGCGCACTCACACTTGCACTCATACTCGCACTCTTACTCGCACTCTTACTCGCACTCGCAGGGTCCCTGATAGGCCTCTCCTGCAGGGCGCCCGCGACCCCAACTTCAAGTACTACCATGTGGCCGCCCACTGGGATCTGCAGACAGCGGTGAGGCAGTAGCTCATTTGGGTGGGTTCCTAGCATCTTGGTAATTGGCGGCGGTTGGTTGGTTGGAGGCTGACAGTCATGTAAAAGTGTATGCCAGGTATCCATTCGCAGCAGCACCACATCCAGGCATGTGTTGGGCTCGCCATGCTGTTCTTGTGTTCCGAGCCTTGGTTCTGAGCGAAATCAAGCAAGCAAGGACGGTGAAGGTGCACACTCGCATGCTGGAAAATAGTGCGACCACACACATTGTATTAGCTAGGTATGTATGTTGTTACAGGGTGGTCAACTTCGCCAGCGGCCCCCTTTCCCGGGGCAGTCCCTGCTCTCCCCTGCTAGAGGGGCACCCTAATCCGTCACCCCATCCGACTTCAGAATGTATTCGTTGGGTTCGGCAACTCACCACCAGTATCCAACCAAATCTAGCGGATCAACGGCGCATCAACTTAGTTCCTGGTCAGCTCGCAAGTTGATATTATCACGTCCTACACCGTCCATAAGATGGGGGGCCACCTCCCATTTCATCACTCCTCAAACACCCGAGGAGCCGGCAGGCGGATTTGAACCCGGGTCGACTGGGTCGACTGGGAGCAGAAGTCAGGCCTTAACCTCTGCCAGCCGCCTGCCATACTAGGTATGTAGGTAGGTAGGTAGGTACATAGGTAGACCCGCCATTCCACGCCGCGCCATGCTTACAATGACATGCGTTTGGGTCCCTTCTGCAGGAATGGTCGCTATTTTGTGGTTGTCCTGGTTCCCTAAACTAAAATTACACATACACAATATTGGACAATCCTTTTTATGCAAGACTTACGTATGACTCTAGCTACACCATCTGTGCTGCTGGCCTTTCTTGACATCTCACTACTGGTCATCGTGGGGAGCAGGCACATGATCAAGCGCCATCTACCCTTATTATCTAAACTGCATGAGGCCGGCTGAGTCGCACCCCGTCATCCCACGTAATACACCACCCAGTCACCTACCCAGCCACTGACGCTGCGAACCTCCCCCCTGCCTTAATAACACAACCCAACCCCAGGAGAACGACCCAAAAGCTCGTGTGGGCCCTATTGCGGATTCCGGCCCACACCGGCTCCCAGTGCCGTCAACCCTGGACGGAATCAGGGAGGGCATTGAAGCCCACCTGGAGGTTGCATATTACAACGGGCTTTGTAAATATCCTAAGTTGAAACGCCCCCGGGAAATGGTCGACCAGGCCCAGCCACAGGCGGCTGAGGCCCTGGCAGAGCCCCCAACCCAGCAGGTAAGGCCCGAATGGATCACCCCCAGTAGAACAGGCACAGATGCCGTGAGGAGCTGGCGGGTTGGCTGGCTTGTGGGTGAGTGGAGTGTAGTCAGTCATGAGAGGGTACAGTCATGGGACCCAGGTACTTGCATACTGGCTGTGGCTCCTCAATTGACTTGATACATACACAACACCACTCACACACGAACACCACAATCTTTCACTCGCTCCTCTCCTCGCACCATCCAGGCTCCTGCTGCATGAGCACCGCCGCTTTCAGGCGTCCGCCGTTTTTAGGTTGCTTCGGTGGCTGACGGCAGTGCTGATGGACAATGGATCCAGCAGTCACCGGATGTCAGGCCGCCACCGCACAGTAGCAACAGCAGTGCAGCAGCAACAGCAGTGCAGTAGCAGCAGCAGTGCTGGAGAGCTGTCTACCGTCCAGCAGGCACCAGATACACCTACCCTGATACCCTGGAGCCGCTGATGACCCAGATGGTGCCCGCAGCTGTATATGCTGTGGACATTGGCCAGTGCCGTACAAAGAAATGCAAGCAGAATGCTGTTTGACCTGGTACTGTTAGCCTGCGAGTATTTGCACAGGTCAACAGAAACAAGTGATTCCCTTCCTGATTCATTTCGCATTTTCCGTGTGATGGGCTTATTATATACTATCCTATTATAAAGTATTGTATTCTTGATATTGCCTTAATTGGACAGCTCGGCAGGCCCTATGATGGACCCGTTACACCTAACACACATCTGCCAATTGTTTGTCTGTGATCGTCTATCTGCGTGTCTCGCGTCTCGTTCATTGCAGCTCTATTGTTATTGTTTTGTTGATGTTTGGGTGATGGTGGTCCGTCTATATTTCATGGTGATGAGATTTACTACTGGCCACCACCCTTCACTGCTAACGCGGCCTCCCATGGCCCCATGGTGCGACCGAATTTGCATGGGCCATGTGTGTCAGGAAACTGGGTCCGGTGCAAATCAGGATTTCCACACGCTGTGTAACGGATGCCAGGGAATTGCCCTCACGGCGCAGGGTTGAGGTGAACACATTTATGCCTGATGAGTGCACTTGTTGGAGGTACACCGCTACTCTCCCTTAACAGTCCCAAGTGTGTAGCCGTCCTTGCCAGTGGGCTCTTGGAGTGAAGCCGAGCCCCTGGTACAGCCAGGAGCCCCTACTACACACATGACCGGAAAAGAAGCTAAGCCGTTCACAGAAGAGTGCAAGGGCTTGTGCTGCTGCAGATTGCCCCCTAGGGATTGGGGTGTGGTGGTGGGTTCAGCGGCCAGTACGGGAGAAGACCTCTTCTGGGTGGGATAGCAATGCACAGGGCGACGGCATGCTAGCCACTGAAACCACCCATAAATCCTCCACAGCAGCTGCTCGGTCGCAGCTGATTGAACGTCGGTACTCTCTGGCTGGAAAGGAGCTAAGAGCACCTTTGATTATGGACATTTAACTGACACCATCCAAGGACAGGATCAGTGTACAGGATCAATGCCTTCCCATTTCATGGCCTCCAACATGCTCTGTTGATGATCGAATCCCTCTTCAGCACGAATATCATTATAGGCTGGGCATTCCAATAAAACGTGTTTCCATCGCTGCCTGCTGCTGGTCCCGGAGCATAGCCTGGAGTTGCATGCAGTTGTGAAAGCAGTGGCCCCGCTGGTTGCAGACGAGGCATGTGATGTCCTCGGGGCCCTCTTGGGGACCCACCCTGGGGGGCTGTGTGGAGGTGAAGGGCTGCTTGGAACCGGACCGGCTGGCCGACTGAGACTGCCCTGTAAGCGCCGTGCCCAGGTGTGCTCACTGTTCGAAGGAGAGGGAAGCAAGGCAGGCGACGAGGGAGGTCTTACATGGGTCACCATCCCTCACCAGGCGGATGACCTCCTTGTAGGGCAACAGCTGTGACATGTCGTTGAGCTACTTCTGGGTCTGCTGCGCCTCGGATGCTGTCTTGTAGTGCTGCACTACCTGCATGGCCAGCTGCACCCGTGCTTCAGGGTCCTGCGTCTCGTCAAACTCCACTGCAGCTGCCTGAGTGGCCGCAATGTTGTGGTTGATGACGTGGTTGGCATGACTGTTGAAGGCTGACTGGTCGGACGCCAGGCGCTGTCCGCCTGCCTCCTTGAATATCAATCCCCACTCCGGCACGGTGTCCAGGACGACCCCCCGATCCACCATGAGGCTGAGCATATCACTGAAGGGTCCCAGCAAGCCAGGAGCAGTGGTCAGGCCGGCTGCCAACAGGCTGCCAGTGGTGGCTGGGGCCAGCGAGCACTGGGAGGGGGGCGTTGAAGGGGTGCGGTGGGGGGAGTGCATGCCGAACTACGATGGCGCCAGCCTGGTGAGGGGCCTTGGGTTGAACAGCAGCTGAAGAGGGGGTTGCGGGCATGGTGGCTGCAGCCACCTGGGTGGAGCTGCACCGTGGGCGGGCTGCGTCTCGAGGTTGCCAATGATAGTCTGCGCCAGCTGATTGTATCCACCATTGTCGACTATGGTTTCAAGGTCAGAGCCAGCCAGAATGTGAGCCCCCTGAGCTCCGCCCTCCACGGCGCCCTGGGTGCGCCCGTGCTGACCCAACCCACCCGAGCAACCCGGTCCCGCGTTGTCCAACGCGGGGAGCTCACCTGCGTCATCCTCGCCAACACTAGGGAGGGGGTGCCACTGCAGCGGAACACCGGAGACGAGCTGAAGTTTGCGCTCTTGAATCACCAGCCGAGCGGTGTCACGAGTCTTCAGGTTGGTAACGGACGGGTTGGCTCGAAGAAGCCTCGAACGCTGTGACTCATGCTTGCACCGAATGGACTTGAGTTTGGCTGTGTGGGTGTCCTTGGCTGATTTCGAAGCCCGAGCGGGCAAATGCTGCTCCTGCTGGCCGAGGTCTGTCGCCAACGCCTCGTCAATAGCCAAAAGCTGATCTTCTACCCGCTGCAATATGTCCAGTTCATCCGATGACAGCGGTGGGAAGGAGACAAGCTCTCGGTCGCAGTCAGCGGTCGTGCGCAGATGGTCAAAGGGCGACATGGCTACAGCAACCAACACCAGACGAACTGACGAAATGAATTGAACCGTTGCGCGTGTTTTTGAAAAGAAAGGTGGCCAGATCCGCACCGCTGACCAACAGACAATAACAGTGGCAACTAGCAGCTGTTCTGATAAAGAGAGCTCGTACCAACCAGAAGCAGAATCAGAGATCACAAAGAAGATTAATAAGACAAGACTAACCACCACCGAGCAAAACAGCAGCTCAAGACAACAACCAACCAACCGCACCGTACGACGCCGCTCTGATGCCCGTCTGCAAACCACATTTTAGGCTACGCCTAAAATAAGATATTTAACCGACACCATGAAAGGACAGGATCAGTGTACAGGATCAATGCCTTCCCATTTCATGGCCTCCAACATGCTCTGTTGATGATCGAATCCCTCTTCAGCACGAATATCATTATAGGCTGGGCATTCCAATAACACGTGTGTCCATCCCCGATTCGGCTATTAGTACGGCAAAACAGCGGCAAAACCGCTGCCCCCTGGGGACATGGTACTTGCCCCTTCGTGCTCTGTTTGCCTCCAAAGCCCAGCAACACAAACGAAACTGCATTAACTTACGATGTGCTAAACGAGGAATGAAAACCTTAGCATGTGTTGGCCACATGACGGCTGGGGCTCCCGAAAAAGGCAGCCCCATTCAGTGCTTATACTTCACCATTTGCAATCCCGATTGTTTCCCATCTGATGGGTACTCCTCTGGCAAGACAGTCAGACGCGTATGGTCCCAGCCGCTCATCAGCGCTCCCTTTGTGCCGTTATCATCGCTCCTCTACCCGAAGGCCTACTCAACAACCAGTCAACACGCTCCTTTCCCCCCATGACTTCTTGCGGTATTCCGCTCCATATATTGCACTCCAAGAAGGAAAACAGTCATAACATTGAGGTTCCCCAACCCTCCCATTCCAGGTTGGTCAGAGCATCGGTTATCTCCTGCCGTAAAACTGCATGAGCAATGGACCCCACTTGCTTTTGAAGGTGAAGAAACGGAGGATCTGTTTCACCATGTAATACTGTAAGGGGAGTTCAGCCAGCTCCGCATACAACAGCCTGTGGGATGGCCGTGCCATCCCCACTATCTGCCTCATGAATAAAATCTGCAGATGGACTGCGCTATCCTTCAAACAGGCTTCGAACATGACCTCCGCAAGGTTGGCTTTATCCCGCCGCCTTCCCGCCCTGTGTTATGTTATGAGCTATGTTTGTGTAGCAGAAGGCAAGACCGGTGCCATGGCAAATGATTGTTGGAGTTGCGAGACGCGCGCTGGTGGGAAAGTGATTGGGGCAGCTCCAGAGGCTGAGGCTGGCAGTTGGGCAAGTTCGTTGATACGGGTCTACGCGGGTCTGAAAATATCATGTTTGACAGCTTGAATCTGGTACGAACAGGTTACAACTTACAAATCGTCGACTCGCCGAGAACGGTTGTATCGTGGGGCCGCCAAAACAGCATTTGACATGAAGGGCGGGCTTCCATTAGCCAGTTAGCGCTCCCCAGTTAAGGGTGAGATAGCAGTCGCTTTATTCCACTAAAGTTTGGCTAAAAGTCGCGTGCGTCCATGGCAGCTGAGTTTTGTCGAATGTACTCCTACCGCACTTTCAATGGTCACTTCATGTTTCGTCGGTGCGGCAGCGCAACTAGCTAAAGCGGCAAATGTAAACATTATTTATGATGATATCATAATGAATTAGCTAAATAAACAGGATAAGTAGAGGTCGCGGACTTTAAGTAGAGGTCGCTCAGGTGGTAAGTTCACCTTGCAACGAAACGGTCTGAGTAAAGCATCGGAATCATCACAATGGTTCAATACTTAAGAGATCATTATTTTGCTTATTATACAGTATTGAGCTCGCGCGACCCTGAATACGGACTAACTTTGGCGGGCCCTGATAGCTTGGAAATGGCTAAAAGTCGCGTGCTTAAAGCGCCGACTTTTAGCCTGTCAGTTATCTTAAAACTACACCCTAGCTGGCTGATGGAAGCCGGACCTGTGACTGATGCCAACGAGGTGTTCAGAATGCACCTCCACAAAATGTGGCAAAAGTGAAAATGGCAATGATCAGGGCTTATGGATGAAGGCACACAATAACAATAAGGCGTAGGGGATGGAAGGGAGTAGTTGGTGTCCCTGAAGCACGGGAGCCTGCAAGGGATTTCGTGACATCTCGTAACGCACCTGCGGTGGAGCTTGAAAATCACCATGTACGCCACGGCTTTCAGCAGGGGTACCACTTATATTATCGTGCACTGAGCGCGTAATTTCCAGCTGGGTGAACGGGCAATTGTACGAAGACTATTTAAGACCAGAATCGAAAGTTGCAATCATGACCTAAGTTGCCATTTTTCATAGTCCTTTCATGACCTAAATAAAGCGGTCTGCATTCAGTGGTGCTCAGTGAGCAGCACACCTATTGGAGGCTCAGAGTCCATGCTGTAAATTGTGCGTTTTTTCACCACAGAGTGAGTTTCCAGAAGCCAAAATGGAACAGGTGAGCGTGGCTTTTTGCAGTGTGCAGCAAAGCCTCTGCGTGCAATGGCGAGCGTACTTTACCTTTTATCGTTCTTCACCAGCACCTCCAAATACTCTTTCCAGGCGCAACCTCCAGTGGCACCCAGCCTAAAGGACACTTGCCAGGCGGCGCGTTACGCTTTTGAAGCCTACAACGCGCCAGGGACCAGTCCTACTTATGCCTCCGGAAGCACCGGCGTCGCCGAGGTGGTTTTCACGGACCAGTAAGTAAAGATAAAATTAGCCTGATAGTGCCTACACTAATGCAATTTAGCCGCTACCTAGCTTCGGTGTTACGACGCGCGGCGGCGTCCGTAAGCAGCAGCAGCAGCAGCAGCGGCTGCGTTCCGATATCTAGCTAAGGAATGCTGGCAGCAGGTTTGCGCGGCCTGACGAATTGGTGGCCAAGGTGTTAAGAAATGCCACAAATTAAATGTTCAATAGAGACCGGACTTTTGCAATGATTTTACAGCGGCTCCTATAACAATCACATTACAGCATGTCTGCGACGACTCGTGCGGTATCAGCTAGATCGGGCACCCAGGCAGCCCGTGCATGACAACAGCAAGAAAACGACAGGCCCAAAATCACCGCACTTTGTCACTTCGATTTGTTCATCCATCCATCCATCCATCTGCGCGCACGCCATGTACCTTAAGTTTAGGAGTTATGGGCGGGATGGTACGGGTTGAGTGGGCGGGGTCGGCAGCTCAAGCATCGTTAACGCTTTTATTTTTTTACTTTTCGTATTACATCAGGTGAACGTCCTGGACAATAGCCTTCTGGTCCCTCGCTCGCCACACACACCATAATTCCCTTGCTGCCTTCCCTCCGCTATGCAACCAACTACGTGCCTTGGTTCTCTGACGTTCAGAACCCAGCCCGGTGTGTACATGGCTATATAGCTTGTATGTTACCGTACCTGACCTGCCCCTACCTGACCTGCCCCTACCTGACCTGCCTCTACCTGACCTGCCTCTACCTGACCTGCTGATCCCAGGGACTTCGTTAAACGCAACTTGAACACAGGCAACGGCGGCATCTTGGTTGTCGAGCTGACTGACGCTCTGGCACTTAAGCCCTTCTGTGGCGTCAGTCTGTCAGTCGAGCTATGCATCCAACCCCGAATCCTTCGAGCCGCTGCAGCTGCCACTGCTGCCAAGGGTGAGCAGCAGCAGGGCAGCATTCGGGGAGCTGCAATTCACGTCAGTCTACCGCTGAAGGGGCAGGACGAGAAACTTGAGCTTGGTGTACGGTGAGGACGTTGGGCTGCATGTCCTTCATGTACAGGAGTATGCAGCCTGGTGATACAGGTACCGGTGGTGTCAGAAACTGTCAAATGCGTGCATACTGTAGTATCCTGGAGGGCATATCACGGGATTCTGACATTGGTACTTTTCTGCAGCCGTGATACAACAATCACATACCCCCGGCTTCCCCACACACATACACGTACCCGGCCACCCGTTACACACACATAAGCTATCTATGTTTCCTTATTACTGTGGTCCCCACGCACACATCCATACGCGCATACAAACACGCACAGGGACAAAAAAAGGACCTGCTCCATCTGACGCTGTACTACGGCAACGAAATATGCAACGGGGGAGTGCCGCCGGAGCCGGTACACATCCGTATTCCCCTGACGGACGTGGGTGCAAACCGGTCCACTAAAGTTGTACCAATGCAGGCCCTACTCAGGGAGGCAGCTACTGCTGCCAACGTTGCTGGCTCCTCCACCAGCACGAATGCGGGCGGCAATGATCCAGCTGCTCGTAAGTGGTTGAAACAGGTCGACTAGCAGAGGGTATACCGCATGAGCCGCACTGGGTTGGTCATTAATTGCCAAGCTGGTGCTTTGATCATTGTCCATACTCGTTCGTGCGTTCTGCCTGCGCACAGCGCCTTCTTACTACCAGAGAGTGATCTCCAACACACATAAAGTGTCGATCGTAGTATGGTAGAGTGTCGTACCAGTATTGGCTGCCAGATTCAGCTTTTAGCGATGATTGCGTAATATGCCTTGCCTGTTTCACATGCGATGACCGTTGGAAACCCCCTCCGAGCTATCGTTAATTAACTGACACGGAACTCCCGCCCCTTCAGCCCCGTGCGTGTTATTCGTTCGGTGACTGGGCCCCCCCCCCCGCGCCCGCCGAATGCCCCCGGAAAGCTAACCAAATGAGTTTCACATGGCTGCTGGCCCCGTTCTCCGACAACCCTTTCGCCGCGAAGAATATACTGCCCCGGGAACAACCATTAGTGAAGGTGGGTTCGTTCCATGCGTGTGTGCATGTATGTGTGTATGTGTGCATGTATGTGTGTATGTGTGCATGTATGTGTGTATGTGTGTATGGCACAACATATGCACGCAGACAGGCAATCATGTGTAGGTAGACGTGATTGTCTGTCGGTGTGCATATGTTTGGCTGGCGTCGTTAACACTTTACACATCTCGATCATGTCGGTCTTGATTCAGATCGTTCTCTTTGATAGTGGTATCGTATTTAGCAAGTGGGTCCGGACAAGCACGGGAAACAACACTTCAAACCTTGCTAATATTTAAGTTGTAACTGCGTAACTGTATGCGCCATGTATTTTATGAAGGACGTTGTTTCGAGGTGCAGCTAGGCCCGTCTGCCTACAGTTACGTGCAGCAGTTGCGTGCGTGAGGAACTAATTGGCAACCTTTGTCCCATGGCATTTGTTTGAATGGGCTACGTTGGGCTACGGAAGCCCGCTACTTGTTTTTTGTTGATGTTGTTACAGGGTGCTTAAGCTTCACCAATGGCCTCCTTCCCGAGGCAATTCCCTGCTCTCCCCTGCTAGAGGGGCACCCTAAGCCATTCACCCCATCCGACTTCAGAGTGTACTCTTTGAGTTTGGCAACTCACCACCAGCATCCAACCAAATCTAGCGGATCAACGGCGCGTCAACTTAGTTCCTGGTCAGCTCGCGAGTTGATGTTTTTTATTTTATAAAATACCTCGAAAGGCCGATAACTCAATTTGTTGGGGCTGAGGAAGCCAGCTACTTGTTTTTAATTAAGGTTGTATTTGTAGCGGATTAACCCGCTGTCCTCCATCGATACTTGCTCAAACGGCTAAGTTGTTGGCAAACTTACCTTGCCTTTTCGATCTAAACTATTCTCGCCGGTGCACCGCTCGCCCCTGCCGATAATAACATGATCATGTACACTTACATTCACAGCATTACATGGATTCACTAGTTGTGCTGTCAAATCAATATCTGAACCAGAAGGTCTTGCGCTACTGATTGGATAATTGTGAATCATGATAATTGCTCCGGCCTAATGAACCAAAATCTTTTTTATTATTTCACTTGGGCAAACAGAGGTTTGGTCGACAGTACCGGTTGCCATGATTTCATCAGCTATCAAGCAATGTTTCATACTTCCAAATAAAACACGAAATTGTTCAACCTGTACCCAGGTTACCCAGGTTACACAGTTTAAAATGTATATATTCAAGTAAAGCACTCCATGAATTCCGATAGTTAGCTCCTTTGCTAAAGGAGATTAGAAAGAAGATTAGCTTTATGATAACGCTTCATAATGTTAAGCTTTGCGGGTCAGGAATTTATTCCTGATATTAACCTGGCTTTTGACATGAGGGATACGGTAGTAAGTAATCTCGTGAAACATTATTTATGGCTAGAAAAATAACAAGTAATGCATGAATAGGATTGTCATAAATCCGGAATGTCTTCGCGCAAACGTGCACATTTCATCATTTCCTTGTCTTTTTATTGACGGATCTTATCATCTCCTCGCTCCGTGCCGCCGACCTGTCGATGCCGCCTCGTTCCAATCCACACGCGCAGATCGCACACGACATCCTGAGTTTCGCATTCAAGTGTAAGCAGGCTTGGTATGACACCGATACAGTATGTCCGTGTTACATCTGTGCCGTGATGTGTACTGAGGCAACCGAGGTCGTCTAGTGCTATACAACCTGTTGTGAAGGCCGCCGGGTACATAGATATATAACGGCTTCATGTGACATATTAAGTGCACTTGTCTGTAGTACCCCGGGCATATCACCCTGGGATTTTGACATCCGCCGATCGGTACTTTTCTGAACTCGTGACATAACAGGCTGCAGTTGGGTTGCAGGGTGGGATCCGGATGCTGCTGTCGCTGCTACTGCTGCTGCTGCTGCTGCTGCTTTATGTTGCCACTGTATGGCTGCTCGCTACTGTTGCTGCGCTAGCTGCGCTAGCTGTACAGCACTGCTGATATCACTAATGTTGCTATTGATTGCTGGCGCCAGTACTAATGCTGCTGGGGCCGCTGATGGCTGCCACTGGGGCTAAGCAGCTCCCTGCCTCCGCGCCTAGCTAGGCTGGGCAGTCAATTGCACATACAGCAACAGCGATGAAAAGCTAGGTAGACCATGCCTGCGTGTATGCGTCATTGCTACTAAAACTCCCAAACACGCACGCACACACACAGACACACACAAAGAACCTATATGTACATCCAGCAGCAGGCAAAAGAATCCATGATTAACGTCTTTGCTTTTTCGGACCCCTGCGTCGACATACAGTCCGTGTGGATGTCGCCGAGATCACATTGGAATCCATTCAGGAGCTTCTGTTGAGAAAGCCGCAAGAGAAGGTCAACTGGGACGAGCTGAGCCGCAAGGCGGGCGCCGAGGATCTCACCCTGCTGGCCTACGTCAACTGCCCCGACACCGATACAGTGGTAGATTAGGCGGTGGCTGCGCGCAGTGCTGCTGTACACATACACGCATAGATTTTCATTGTACAATTGTCCTGCTCTCATCACTGCTCTCGTCACTGCACCTTTGGAATGGTAATGCACTCAGGTTGTAACACACGTACGGATACACACCCAATAACACATTCACATATGCAAGAGCACATGCATGTATGTATGTATGACGCTGATTACACTGTGGGCTGAAAAGCCGGGGGCCCAGGGCCGAAACACAGCGCGGGGGGGGTGCACACGGCTGGTTAGTCTCATGCACTCCGCCCCCGGGCCTCCTAACATAAACGAAGTCGCAACTGGGGGGCTCTTCCTGCCGACCGAACGTACCGAGCAGAAAGAAAGAAAGCTCGCAACCAGGACCTGGGCGACCGGGAGCCCGACGAGTCATCCCGGGCTGGGGAGGTCACCAAGCTTAAAAACCCTCACGCAAAAAGAGCGCAAAGAGCTGACACCACAAGACGCCAAACAGCCTCCTGAGACTACTACCCTCCTCCGCCTCTCCCTCCCTGGGCTAGTCCAGGGGAGATAGCACCCGTCCGGGAGATAAAATATGTATGTATGTATGTGAGCGCAGGTGTGGTTCTACCGGAATGGCAGTTGCGGAAAGGTGATGGTGTCTTTCCGCGGGACAGAAATCGTAAGTTCCGGCCCGGATGGAGTTGGGGGTGGGTTGGGAGGAATGGAGCAGACGGATGGACAGACGGATGGACAGACGGACGGACAGACGGACGGACGGACAGATGGAAACGTGGTCTCAGCAAGCAAGGGCGCAGTGTGCTTGCTGGTTATCCAGCAGCAGCGAATGTGCACTGCAATGTATTATTGATCGTGCAATCATGCGCGGTTCTGAGCACACGATGAGCATTCATGTTAGTGACTCTACAGCACCCCGTAATGCTAAGAAGTTGCACTCCTGCGAATTATTTGTTGCCCCCGACCCACCGCCATGTGATGTAACCTCCTTTCGTCCCTCCCTCCGTTTCTCACTCCTTCGTGACAGGACTCCCTAGCCAACATCTTGACGGATGCCGATCTGTTCCTCACGCCACCAGACGACCTGAATCCCCTGGAGGCCAATGGCCTGAAGACTCCACCGCAGGTCCTGGTGCACACCGGCTTCCTCCGCGCCTACATGAGCATCCGCGCGACGATCATGTCGATTCTGGATCTGCTCATTTTTGACCAGCAGTATCCGGCAGGTGAGGATGCCAATGCCACTGTGCGTCTAGGTGTCCACCACCGCTGTAGGAAGGGTTAAGCTCCCTTGGCATCTCCCTGGGTACTCTTTGCCTGGTGCTACAATGGTGCGAATTGCTAGGAGGTGAGAAATCCCCGAATCGAATCCGGTTGTGAACATATCGCACACCAGTCACGATGCATATATACCCAAGGGTTTGGCACCACTGGTAAGGCGCGACCATTGCCCCCCGGAAGATCCCGGGATCGATACCCGTTAGGGTCAAAACGTCCTTCCGATGGTGGAATGCATTGCGCCCCTAGTTGATGGACGGTGGTGACCTGGGATAAAGTTAACCTGCGAGCCGACCAGGAACGGAGTTGGGCCGCTGTCGACCCGGCAGATTCCGTTGGATGCTGGTGGTGGGTGCGGAACCTGAGCGATCCACTGAGAAGTTGACTAGGGTGACTGGATGAGGGTGCCCCGAAATACCGGGGAAGGCAGGGTTTCGCAGGGTAGCTGCCACGGGCGAAGATACACCCCCCTGTTTCACACATCATACTCATATCCCAAAGGTGGATGCCTGGGCGGGTGAGAAGTCTACCAGCTGAGTAAAATCAAATCCCTCCATCCCGGACGGGGACTCACGAAATGTCACAATAACCGACAATCTCACAATCCTACGGGATCTCAAACAACCAAAATCCTACGGGATATGCCCGGGGGCGACCGAGGATGTTCGCTCGAGGGGGAGAGGAATGTGAGAAGGATTCAGCTCCCTTGGCGTCTCCCTGAGTACTCTTTGGCTGGTGTCCACCACCGCCGCCATGGGCCCGCCACCTGCATCACCATGGGAACGGCCCTACCTGCTGTGTCTTTATGCAAACTCCTGGTGTGGGCTGCTGCTGTAGGGACAGATGGCCGCGCCTCCTCCACCACCGTCGTCTTCACGGGACACTCGCTAGGCGGTGCTCTGGCAACGCTGGCGACATACGACTTGAGCGCCCGCAAGCAGGAAGGGTACGGCACTGTACGAGTGGGAATGATGTCATCTTCGATCAAATGGGCAAAACAGGCCTCACATGGCGATATGCTCTTTACGATGGGGATTGCTGCATTTGTTTAGTAAAGTCACTAAAGAGAAGGAGCCAGCAGTTTTAATTTCGTGGTGGCTTGGATGGTATTGCTTCCCCCCCCCTCTCTATCCCGTTTCGTCCACCTGGCCGTCCTATCCCTTGTGTGCACCACCGCGGCCAACTGTGGTCCATTTCGATGTCTCATCACGCAAATTCGCGGTCAATGGTATCGGGATGTACGGCCTCAGGGTCTTCACTGGCGATATCCTGTGTTACACCTTCGCCAGCCCCCGCGTGGGCAACTTGGTGTTCATGAACGAGTTCAATAAGCTGGCTTCAAATGCCTGGCGTTTGACCAACACCAAGGACCTGATCCCCAGGTACGGCACTAGCGGCTGAATCGGCAAAATGATGCATATAAGACATGGAAAACAGGTTGTAGAATGTTGTTCTGGCAGTGGAACGCCGTTGTCATTACTGTTGTTGAAGCTGCTGCTGGTATAAAGATGATGTGTGTTGGCCATGGTCATCAGAGTCCTTATCATTCGTGCTTTTGCCGCATCTGCTTTGCATTCCATGGCAGATTATGCTCGCCAGCCCCAGTGACATGTTGCGCATCCGTCTACCGTACAGGGATTGAAGCCTCCCTTTAAGCGCTCATGTCTCGTCTCTCAGGTATTCTACCATCACCTTAAGTCTTCTCTTACTCATACTCGCACTCTTACTCGCACTCACATTCGCACTCACACTCGCACTCATACCCGCACTCATACCCGCACTCTTACCCGCACTCATACCCGCACTCTTACCCGCACTCATACCCGCACTCATACCCGCACTCTTACCCGCACTCATACCCGCACTCATACCCGCACTCTTACCCGCACTCATACTCGCACTCTTACGCGCACTCACACTTGCACTCATACTCGCACTCTTACTCGCACTCTTACTCGCACTCGCAGGGTCCCTGATAGGCCTCTCCTGCAGGGCGCCCGCGACCCCAACTTCAAGTACTACCATGTGGCCGCCCACTGGGATCTGCAGACAGCGGTGAGGCAGTAGCTCATTTGGGTGGGTTCCTAGCATCTTGGTAATTGGCGGCAGTTGGTTGGTTGGAGGCTGACAGTCATGTAAAAGTGTATGCCAGGTATCCATTCGCAGCAGCACCACATCCAGGCATGTGTTGGGCTCGCTATGCTGTTCTTGGGTTCCGAGCCTTGGTTCTAAACAAAATCGGCAAGCAAGGACGGTGAAGGTGCACACTCGCACACTGGACAAGTTGGGTGTCGGCTTCCTCGAAGCCGGAAAAAGGGCGGGTCCCCCTGCATCCGTACAGGCCGGTAGCTAGCGCGGCACGTGTGACAATTGATGGGTAGTGTCACTGCGGTGGGAGATGTGCTTTGTTGCAGCAGTACTGATGGTGTGGGAGCTAAGCTTGCACCGGCGGAATCATCAGCACCGCCTGCGGGCTCCACGCGAATCGCATCCATCCCGGGTGCATGCCGCATGGACAGTGCGGCAGACCGCAAGTCGGAATGCCCGTGCGGGAAAATGGTAACGAAAGCTGGGTGAATTTCGGTGCTGTCTGTGATGTTTATCCCCGAAGCGCCAGCGGCCTCAGCAATCCGCCCCACAGCCGCGGGCTTCATCGGGGCACACCGCAACTCTTCGGAGGCCCCGTGCATTGGCCCAAGTAAATGTACAAACAAGCAGCTTGTGTATTTCATAGAGATTTGAAAGCAAATTATGTTGGCCTGCTGGTGGCAAGTCGGATTGCCCATGCCGGCAAATGGTAACACAAGCTGGGTGTTCGAGTTATCATAAGCCGTCATCTCAGAATTCCATTATGAGATACGCGGCAGCTTTCGGGATGAAATTTAGCGCGAGAGGCGTTGATGTGACTTTTGAGGTCGGTGAATGGAGGCAGCTAAACTTGTTTGTGCTCATACGGTCTTTGTTAGCTACATGCGAGATACCTTGCAATAGAGAATGCTGTATAGTACCTATAACGCGTTTCAGCCGGGCGAGATATTATGTTTGGTCCGTTACACACACACGAACAAACACACACACACACACACACACACACACACACAAACACACACACACACACACACACACACACACACACACACACACACACACACACATACACACACACGGACATGGGCAATCCTACAGGTCGGGAGCCCCCTGGGCGCTTCGCGCTGGGGCCCCGCCCAAAAATAGTGCGACCGCACACATCGGAATAGGTACAATGACTCCCTGCTACACCATCTGTGCTGCTGCACCTTTGTTGACACCTCGCTCACCCAGTCAGCTACCCAGCCACTGACGCTGCGAACCTCCCCCCTGCCTTCATAAAACCAACCCAACCCCAGGAGAACGACCCCAATGCTCACGTGGGCCTTATTGCGGATTCCGGCCCACGCCGGCTCCCGGTGCAGTTTACCTACACGGGAATCAAGGAGGGCATTGAAAACCACCTGGGGGTTGCATATTACAACGGGCTTTGGAACTATTTCAAGCTGGAACCGCCCCGGGAAACGGTCGACCGGGCCCAGCCACAGGCGGCTGAGGCCCTGGCAGAGCCCCCAACCCAGGAGGTAAGGCCCGAGTGGATCACCCCCAGTAGAACAGGCACAGATGCCGTGAGGAGCTGGCGGGTTGGCTGGCTTGTGGGTGAGTGGAGTGTAGTCAGTCATGAGAGGGTACAGTCATGGGACCCAGGTACTTGCATACTGGCTGTGGCTCCTTCTCAATTGAAGGAGCAACACAACACCACTCTCACACGAACACCACAATCTTCCACTGCGCTCCTGCTCCTCTCCTCGCACAATCCAGGCTCCTGCTGCACGAGCACCGCCGCTTTCAGGCGTCCGCCGTTTTTTAACATGCTTCAGCGGCTGACAGTAGTGCTGACGGACAATGGATCCAGCAGTCACCGGATGTCAGGCTGCCGCCGGACAGTAGCAACAGCAGTGCAGTAGCAACAGCAGTGCAGTAGCAACAGCAGTGCAGTAGCAACAGCAGTGCAGTAGCAACAGCAGTGCAGTTGCAACAGCGGTGCAGTAGCAACAGCAGTGCAGTAGCAACAGCAGTGCAGTAGCAACAGCAGTGCAGTTGCAACAGCGGTGCAGTAGCAACAGCAGTGCAGTAGCAACAGCAGTGCAGTAGCAACAGCAGTGCAGTAGCAACAGCAGTGCAGTTGCAACAGCGGTGCAGTAGCAACAGCAGTGCAGTAGCAACAGCAGTGCAGTAGCAACAGCAGTGCAGTAGCAACAGCAGTGCAGTTGCAACAGCAGTGCAGTTGCAACAGCGGTGCAGTAGCAACAGCAGTGCAGTAGCAACAGCAGTGCAGTAGCAACAGCAGTGCAGTTGCAACAGCGGTGCAGTAGCAACAGCAGTGCAGTAGCAACAGCAGTGCAGTAGCAACAGCAGTGCAGTTGCAACAGCAGTGCAGTTGCAACAGCGGTGCAGTAGCAACAGCAGTGCAGTAGCAACAGCAGTGCAGTAGCAACAGCAGTGCAGTTGCAACAGCGGTGCAGTAGCAACAGCAGTGCAGTAGCAACAGCAGTGCAGTAGCAGCAGCAGTGCTGGAGAGCTATTCGGCTGTCTACCGTCCAGCAGGCACCAGATACGCCTACCCTGATACCCTGGAGCCGCTGATGACCCAGATGGTGCCTGCAGCTGTATATGCTGAGGACATTGGCCAGTGCCGTACAAAGAAGTGCAAGCAGAATGCTGTTTGACCTGGTGCTGTTAGCCTGCGAGCATTTGTGATTCCCTTTCTAATTTTTTGCTCTTTCTGATTCATTTCGCATTTTCCGTGTGATGGGCTTATATAATATACTATCCTATTATATTATATTGTATTCTTGATATTGCCTTAATTGGACACCTCGGCAGGCCCTATGATGGACCCGTCACACCTAACGCACATTTGCTAATGGTTCGTTTGTGATCGTCTATCGGCATGTGTCGCGTCTCGTTCATTGCAGCTCTATTGTTATTGTTTTGTTGACGTTTGGGCGATGGTGGTCCGTCTATATTTCATGGTGATGAGATTTACTACCGGCTACCACCCTTCACTGCTAACGCGGCCTCCCATGGCCCCATGGTGCGACCGAACTTGCATGGGCCATGTGTGTCAGGCAACTGAGTCCGGTGCAAATCAGGATTTCCACACGCTGTGTAACGGATTGCCCTCACGGCGCAGGGTTGAGGTGAACACATTTATGCCTGATGGAGGTACACTTGTTGGAGGTACACCGCTACTCTCACTCTGGGAAAGGTTTTCACCCGTAAATTCATGTTTACCCGTAATCACGTGGTCTTCACATGTAATTACCGGCCAAGAAAATTTGTACACATGCTTATTTTTAAGTTGCCAAAGCATTCCTTTTATAAGGAATAACACAGGTGACATTTTGTTGGTTGCCCGTGCTGGAAGTCATCCACAGGTTACATTACCCGTAATCACAAGGTCTTGACCCGTAATCCCCCAAGCCGTAATGCACAGCACCCGTAAAATTTCACGGGCTTAATTGCGACGAAGACGTGTTATGTGTGTGTGTGTGTGTTACATGGTTGGGGGTGCGTGACCCCATACCTGTAAGATTACCCATACGAGCCGAGGGCCCAAGGGTAATACTACAACGCCTAAAAGCCACGGAGGAAAGGAAAACACCGCACATCAGCCCAGACTAGCGTCTAAAGGGGGTAATTGAGTTTCGGTGAGCCCACATACGTTCCAATTTCCTCGCCAGACGTGCGGGTTCCCATTGCATGGCCTCCAACATGCTCTGTTGATGATCGAATCCTTCTTCAGCACGAATATCATTATAGGCTGGGCATTCCAATAAC